AGGTGTCTCCAACATGGAATTATGTGCTCGATGGACAGCATTGGGCTCGTTTTATCCGTTCGCTCGCAACCACAATAATTTGGATTCTCCAGCGCAAGAGACCTACGTGTGGCCTGAAGTCACAGTAGTTGGCCAGAAGTTCATCGGCTTGCGGTATCGACTTTTACCGTACATTTACACGCTAGGTTATCACGCCCACAGAGATGGTCTGCCGATTGCTCGTCCACTGCTCATGGAGTTTCCTACTGACACTGTCACTCACAACATAAATTACCAGTTTATGCTCGGTAACGCGTTGTTGGTGACTCCAGTGATATCCAAGGGCGCGACAGCCGTGACGGGATATTTTCCTCGTGGGGTCTGGTACAACGTTTTTGATTATTCGCAAATTTTGACGTCTGGCGCGTATTTAACGATCGGCGTGACGATATTCGACATGCCTGTGCATATTCGCGGTGGAACTATCCTGGCGATGCATCAACCAGCTCTTACGACTGCAAGTGCTCGCCTCACACCGTTCGATATCCTGATCGCATTGTCTTATAATGGAGAGGCTAGTGGAGAATTGTACGTGGACGATGGCGTGACGATCAACCCGAGAGCCACAATCGTTAATTTCACTGCGTCGACTGGTATATTACGGTCAATAGTTTCTCAAAATGACTACGAAGGTGCGCACACGAGTTTGGTGAACAAAGTGATCGTGCTTGGCGTAACTTCGTCACCTTCCCGTGTGTCCCTCGGATCCATCTCTAAATATGATTCCGACACGCAGTGTCTGGAGATTGATCTCTCAAGTACCAACCAAACTATTGACACGGACTTCATGATCATTTGGAACTGAGGATATCTGTTTAAGTACAGTTGAATACAGCTATATCTCGAAGGAACTAACCGCTATTTAAGTCGGTTGCTGATACTTTCTGCTGCTTGTTTTCGGTACTGGTAGAAGTTGCAATATCGGCATACACAGCACCTGGTCGGCGACGCCAGTTGACTTCTGCGTTCTGATCGAAGTTTAACGCAAATTTCATTAAACACGTCGCGTTCATTTTCTGGCAGTGGATATCAGCCATAGTTAGCAATAACAAAATAACTATGACCTGGTGTACTTCTTACCCTCAGTACAGCTTTGTAAAGAACAGGTTCACGTAGGTGCAGATGCACTTGAGTCTTGATCTGCAAGGCTTTCATGATCAGATTCTGCACCGCACCAGATTCTGCCAGTGGATCAATTGCCAGAATTGCCTGTGAACAACGAAGCATCATGACATGTCAGTCTTCATGTCTTTATCAAAAGTGAATTCTAGAATTTTTCTTTACATCTCGGACGACAGAAATCGGCAAAATCCCTCGCTGCTCCGTGTCACGCTGTTCCAATTCGCTTCATCACGCAGAAGCACTGAAGTTAGCACTCAAAGATAACTGAATCCAACGTGAAATATCTACCTCAGAAGCAGTGCGTAGTAATCCTGAATCTCCTTAAAATGTTGTGTTCGAATTGTCTTGACGAAAAATCCAAGCGGGTACTTCACATCTAACGGCAGAATGTCATGGATATACAAAATAGAGTCGTTTCCACCACGCTTCATCTTGTGCATGTCCCGAATGATAGACTGCTCAATAGCTTGCAATTGTGCCGACGTCTTCAAAGGGAAATACGTTCTCAGTGCGACCAATGCATCTTTCAGCAGTACCCGTCGCTCAGTCACGAAGCTTTCTACGTTGTAAAGCTCGCACAGTCGAAGCAGGAGTTGCTGACAGCCTTGGATCATGTGTTCTTGATCCACGTACACAAGATCGGAGACAGCACCAGTCAAGCACAGCAAGAACATTTCGATTTCCGAGTCCCAGCTAAACAACTGCAACGCTAGTAACAAATTGTAACCCCACTCGGCGATCAATGGTTGGAATCCGTACTTGCGATGCAGCTTCTCATACAAAACCTTCTCGAGCGGGTATCGTCCTAGCGGGTTACGCTGCTCGCGCTTCCGCTTTTCAACCCAGACCTTACGCACCACTTTCTCGACGTCAATTTTCTTGAGAACTCTTCTCTTCAATTTTCCACGATGACGTAAGAACAGAGGCACCGCGTCATGCGTGCCGAGAGCCATGATATACTCTGATCTTTTCTTCGATGGGGACCCAGAAGTTGGCGATACTGCAATGGTTATCACACCAGATTCGTTAGGGAGTATACTTGGAAGCATTGAGCTCTTCCGAACGGCACGATCAAGCTGATGATGTAAGATATTGAGCTCAACTCGTGCTTCCTCGACATCATGCCAAATCTTATCATAAGTAAATAGTTAGTTAGTGAATAGTATAACGAATAGATTACATAACTGCGTACCCGACTCAAGTGAAGGTTAACGCCGCAGTGCTTTTGCAGACGCT